ATACAGCTCAATCGCGGACTTTTTCAAAAAGCAGTCAGCCCTTATGTTGCACCTTCAGTGCACATAAGGGAGGGTGGAGGAGGGCTTAGGAGAGCTTTGAGGTGAGGATGACTTTTGTTGATCCGCGCGCGTATCGTCAGAAGTCCTTCTCACGCCAAGTCATTGTTTGCTGACGCAAGCAATGCCTCCTTAGCCGGGTATGACTGGAGCAAAGAGAAGCTAACCATAATAATAATAATTTTCCTTTAGTGTAGTGTGCCTCACCAGCTTGTACTATCACGAGCCGCCCCTGGAAAGAACTATTTGTAGAGCCGACATCGAAATCCAACCATAACAGAACTGGTTGCCAGATGTCTCGTCTCAATCATCGCACAAGCTCGGCGCCAGCCGCCCGTTTTCTTTCAGTCTTTCATTAGTTCACTACCGTACAAGTAGTTCAAAACTATTTCTTTCGATCGTATGTTTAGGTTTAAATTATTATATGATTAGTTAGTTTTTATTTGCAAAAAAATATTTTTTATTTATATTAAAGATTTGTTTTTTATTAACCGTTTTAAATATAAATAGGTTCAAGTATGATTTATTTTTATATTTACGTATATTTAAACTCAGGTATTTATAATTAGGTTATTTCTAAAAAACCTTTACAAAAAAATCAGTGAATTTTCTAGGAACATTAAATAACACATTTTCATTCTCACTTTTACAAAAATTATATTTTATGTAAATGCCTCAATCATTTTAACCACAACTTCTTCTTCTTCTAGTTCCATGACCGTTATCGATCGTTGGATATCATGTTGGCTACCATATTCGCTATCGTGACTTTATTGACAGCAGCTCTAAATAACGATGTAGTTGATTTTCCATACCATTGCCTTAGATTTTTCAGCCATGATGTTCTTCTTCTACCAGGACCACGATTACCTTGGATCTTTCCCTGAATGATCAGATGTAAAAGATCATATTTTTCAGGGTGTCTCATAATATGACCGAAGTATTCCAGCTTGCGTTTCTTTATTATATTGACCAGTTGTGTTGTTTGGTTCAGCCGTCTAAGGACCTCCTCATTTCTAACTCTGTCGACCCAGCTTATTTTCAGTAGTCGTCTGTATACCCACATCTCAAAGGCTGTCAAGCGTTTAAGCATAGCCTCAGTTAGGGTCCACGCTTCTACTCCATACAGCAGGACAGGAAAGATGTAGCAAGATATCATACGAACTCTAAGGTCAATGCTAAGATCATGACTGCAAAGTACGTTTCTCATTTTTACAAAGGCAGCTCGGGCTTGTTCTATTCGGCTTTTAATTTCTGCGGTTGGATCCCAGCTCTCATTGATATTACTGCCGAGATACACGAGTTTCTCTACTCTGTCCAGTGTGGCATCTCCGACTTTTATACCGTCATCATGTATATAATTTTGTTTGCTATCACGTTGAGTTTTAGTCCATACTGATCACAAGTCTGTTTTATTTTGTTCATTAGATTTTGAAGGTCTTCTCCGCAATTGGCAAGGACTAAGGTATCGTCGGCATATCTAATATTGTTGACGGTTACTCCATTCACAATAATACCTTCGGTTGTCTCCATTAAGGCTTCCTTAAATATTTCCTCCGAATATAAGTTAAAAAGTAAAGGCGACAATATACAGCCTTGTCTCACTCCTCTTTTTATATTTATTTCATCCGACAGTTCTTGTTCAACCTTTATTCTTGCCACTTGATGCCAGTATAGATTTGTAATTATTCGTAGATCTTTATCGTCCAATCCAGCTGTTTCCAATATTTCTAGCATTTTGTTATGTCGGACTTTGTCAAAAGCTTTTTCAAAATCGATTGCACAAATATACACATTTTGATTTATATCTCTGCATCTCTGTACTAGCACCTGTATACTAAACAAGGCTTCTCTTGTACCCAAGCCACTCCTAAACCCAAATTGAGTATTGCTAATTCTGTCCTCTAACAGCGTATAAATTCTGCTGTGTATTACTCGCAGAAAGATTTTCAAAACGTGACTCATCAGACTTATTGTCCGATAATCACCGCATGTCTTTGGACGATGTTTCTTAGGTATTGTGACAAATGTCGACTTTAACCAATCAGTTGGTAATATGCCAGTGTCATAAATTCTGTTAAAGAGATTACACAGAGCTTTAATTCCATTTTCTCCCAAAAACTTTAGTATTTCAGCACTTACTTCATCGGGGCCAAGTGCTTTTCCATTTTTTGCCGTTTGTATTGAACGTCTTACCTCACTTTCTGTTATAGATGGACCTGATATAGCAATCGGTGTATAGTGTTCTACTCTCTCATCTTCAAATAATTCAGAAATGTAGTTTTCCACAACTAAAATTTTTATTTCAAAATTACAATACAAGAAACAACAGCATGACAACATCCAAGCCAATACATGGGCATAAAATCCGAACCATTATGACATTAAGGTAAGACTTAATGTTATTGTCACATTCATAAGAATTATGAATCTGTTATCTGAGGCTAATCGGAATTTTTTTAAAACTAGTTAGTCCATTCATTCACAAAATAATAAATATATGTTCTACTTTATTCATTCATTATTTTCTTCTTTAGAAGTTGAGACATAATTTATAATGCAAATCGTTCGCAGTGAACTAGTTCTATGAAAATTAATGAACTAGTTCAATTAGTTCAGTTGAAAGAATCGTTCATTAGAACTATTTCGATGGTGAACTACACATCCCTACTTCGTAATGATCTTTTGCCCTTTACTTTACAGATTCAATAATAGCGGTGATAAGACCTAACCCTGTCGCACTCCTCGTCAGATTCGTATATCTTCGGATGTTGTTATGGATATAGTTCTGAGATAATTCGCAAGTCTTGTTCATCAATTTGAAGAGTTAGTATAAGACTTTCTGGATATTAAATACGTTGTGTTATAAGTAGTTTAAGTACTGTCACAATGGGAGACAAAATCTAAAATTTATGCACAATACATTAAAGACATACGAAAGATATTTGGTGTCCTGTAAGATATAGTATTAGAGCCCATACTTGCCTATAGTTTCTTAGCGTAATGTGTAGAGTAATATGATATGACCCCTTTTAAAGGGGTCAGTTGAGCCATCATGATTCAAATATAAATCAATATTATATGTGATAACTTTAGAAACTATGCCGTCAATTTTTGTCGGCACAGGTGGTTACACAGGTATGGTACCACAAGGGGGAGGGGTAAACTTTTTGGCGACTATTCTGGTTATCTGTATTTGGGAATAGAATAGTTGTTTTTTCCGGTAAGATAATTATTTTTTGTATGGTAGTCACTTTTTTAACAAAATATAATTAATAACTAACAAACTAATTCATAGCCGGTTATAATAAATGGTACAAATTAAAAATTAAAAAAAAAACCGTCATGTATGTCACTATATTTAAAATACTGTGGCTGTTAATAGTTATTTAAAAGTAGACAAATGAAAAAAAAACATTGCCATATATTTTTTACTGATGGACTTGGCACAGCTAGGGGCTTAGCGTGCATTTATTAGTGGACGCAATTTTATTATTTCCAGGTGTTGGGGAAAGTACGTATAATCTTATAAGTTTGTGGGGTCCCCACCCCTTTTCCGCTGGCGCCATCTTGGAAATAGGGGTGCAAAAGGTTTTGGCGCTGATCTCGTAAACTAGCAATCCTACAGAAACTTTATTCTTATTACTTTTTATCATAAAATAGAAAGTAAATATTTTATAAACAAAAAATTTTGGAACAAATTTTGGGCCTTAACCTTTTTTGTGGTAATTTTACAAAAAAAAAATGACAAAGCAATATTACAGAGGGTGTTTTAATAATTTTCACTACAATTTTGTTTAATTTCTTTAATGTGATTATTAATTTATTACCGACCCTTTCCGCCACTACAAAACTTATGATTATTAATTATTTTAAGATAAATTTCTCGGTAATGAAAAAAAAAACAAAACAAGTTTAATAGACCTTCTCAAAGCTGCTCTCCGATTTAGGCACTTGGAAATCTGAAGAATAATAATTTTCATATGAGTTTTCCAGCCTCGAAAGTGCGTATTTTCGCTTTTTTGAGATTTTAAATTGTTAACTTGAAACATATAACTTAAGAGATAAATGACACAGATCTTTTTGTTTAAAATGACCCAAGAAATCTAAAATATTTTTTCTTATAGCAATAACCCGTTAGTTTTGGAATTTGTTTTAACAATTTCTGCCCAGCACTTTTCTGATTTGTTTAAAGGAACATTTTGGAACAGGAATCCGTAAAGAAACCGAATCAGAAACATTTTTCCTACGGGAGCGGCCTCACAACCGAGACTATACTTTTAAAGCCATTTAGAACCATGTTTTGTACGTCATTTTGTTTTGGTTGATAATTGATATCAATATTAACATAATATTTAATTTTTGATTCTAATATCCCACTTTTAACAGGGAAATTAATTTTCCTCTCATATCACCTGTAACGTGAAAAATGTACGGCATGTCCAAAAATGTTATTATTTTATGTAACTAAATTTAAATCAGTGAGTTTCATATTAGTTCAAATGACCTAATTTGTACTACTGAAAAGTAGTGGGGTTCGGCCAAGATTTCTCACCCCTGTACCAGCCGATATGTGCGGCACTTCAAAAAAAGTAATCTAAATAACGATCCAAAGCTATGTGTATGAATGCCGTACTGCCGTCAAAATTTTCCGAAAATCAAAGATTGTTACTGGTACCAGTATGCATTAGGTCGCAGGTTTTTTGTATTACCTACCTAAGTAATAAATGCCGTACAAAAATTACGTGTGTAGCTACCTGTACCGATAAAAATGACGGCATAATTTGTAAAGTTTTAATACATATTGTAGTTTGTAGTATAGTACTTGTCTCATGCGCTTTTTAGTCTATTGTTGATTATACGTTGTTAAAAACACTGAGAAATTGACAAATCGGTGCAATTGAAAGATGTTCAAGGGTAAGCTAAAGGTATAAATGAATCACGCATAACTCACAAACTTTATTGCAAATCTTAAAAGGGCAACTACAATGACGAAGATCATAAATTCTGTATTTTCTATGTAATACTAGCCAGTCCAAGAATTTCGCAAAAACCAACTTTCAAACTTCAAGGTTACACAGCTCATATTTTTCTAACGATATAAAAATCTAGAAAGCACTAAATCAAATAATTCCTGAAAACTTTCATCTTGGTGTAAATTTGTATTTTTACTATCATTCAAATATATAAAATTAAACTTTATTTGAACTGGCTTCTTTTATGAAAATAAGAAATATGATTCTTCTGTGACATGATATTCAGTTCTTTACTATAAGATATAGATAGAGATCCAAAACCACAAAAATTGCTATCAAAAATAGTCATCAAACTTATTATGGTTATTTCAAGGCCTTGTGACAAACTTGCAAATAAAAATCATATTAATAGAAAACATTCCATCTGCCACACATCTCCAAACAAAGGTATGACTTGACAAAAATACATTCCTTATAAAAATTCATAAATATTAGACGTAAAAAATATACTCTATTTACATAAAAATTCATCTAGGTGTTCTGTTTTGACAGCTCTATTGTTACTGGAAGCAGATACGGAATTTCCGATTCTAAGTATATAAGGAATCACACTATCTATTTGAACTTGCCCAATCAAACTGGCGAAAAATAATTCTTCTATAATATTGGATTCCACTGCTCTAAGTGGGGGCAAACACAATAACAACCTGAAACAAATTTAACCAACAAGATTAATTAACCACAGCAATAACGCTAATTTCTGTTTCTTACTGTCTTGAATAGTAGAATATGTAAAAACATAGAAATAGCTTACCTTGGAAATCTATCAGTATCTTCAGGAAAATTTGTAGCTAAATAATGTCTTAAGGCTTGAAAAGACTTCTCTTGCAACCTTTCAATAGGTTTTTTCATTAACATATCTGGTTGATCAGATGAAAATAGTGTTAAAGCTTTCAAAAAGGCATATTCCTTTTCATTGACGTGTAATCTATTCATACTCGTAACAAAATCTTGTAGCTTCACTATATGATCAGTCACTTGTTTTACTTTCACAGCCGACATTTTGTCTCTTGCTATTGATGCATGCAAATGACTGATAAGAGCTGATAAAATGGTTGGTAGTGATAAAGACTGAGAAGTCTGCGCCAATCCCAGTGTAAAGAGTTCGGCCCAGCAATTTTTTAATAGAGCAATTTGCGTCTCTGAACTGAAAAAAATTAAAACTTATAGTACACCCATATCAACATCAATAAATAAACTACTGTTTTCTAAATGTAAACTTGAAGTTGTTCTGGTTGTATCGAAAAGTCTAGATTTAGAACTTTCCAAAAAAAAAACAACCAGGTCGTATATACAGTAACAAAATACATCCACGACACAGATAAATACAGAGAAACAATTTGAAAACATCCCACAATTCATTTATTCTCGAGCGATTGTAAAAAAAAACGTAATTAAAACAGGTCTCGGAATAAACTTTCATTTTTTTTAATGGTTAGTCCCTCTTACACAAGACATTCATGATTATCTGATTTCTTTAAATAACAATTAAAAAAAAACGTGCATAGAAATCGGCCCACTTTAAACTTTTGACTTTTTCACACCCATAAGATCAAAAAAATAACATAAATCGTCAATATTTGTTATCATTGCGTTTACAACTTAAAATTGCATATTTTTCGTTTTTCATAACTAATGATAGTTTAAGCGCGTGCAATTTTCAGAATTCTGCTTTGAAGAGCGTAGTCATTATGACGGTGGTTCCTGCATGATTTGCAATTTCTATGGGGACATGAACCGACCTTGTTTTCATTCATAGGGGTAACCGTTTTCACGAGCTAGGAAGTTTAACGGGTGCTAGATACATCGAAAATATTTGATTTTAGCATTGCATGTTGTACCTTACGTTGACTACAATGAACCTGAATTTATACAGAACAATGCAATGACTCGTACCTCAAAAATCATGCAAGATTACATTACCGATATCGGTTTTCGGGCCATGGAATGGCCAGCCTGCAGTCCGGACCTCATTCCCATAGAACATGTATGGGATGAGCTAAAACAAAGAATTTGAGCTAGACTTCATACCCCAAACTCGATCTCAGAGCTTATTGTCGAAGTAGAAGACGAGTGGTTAAACATTCCACAAGAAACAATAGCTAACTTCATTAGATCTATACCTAATCCTATCAGAAAAGGTATTATTGCAAAAATAGGTCATACCCATTATTAAAACATTAACTGTTAGATTTTTAATTGTCAAATACCCTTTTTGTGTTAGCAATAAAAAAAAGTTAATTTGCTTTATGCATTCATTTGATAATGTTACCGTAAGTCGAAATAAATTTTTATAAATATACATTCAGTTCTGTATTGCTAATCGAGCGAGCCAGACGTATTTACTTCGGCCGGTGATTTCGAGTGTTTAAAATTTTTACAAAACGATTTAAAAACTCATTAGACTAATTCTGTAACAACATAGTGATAGTGATAGTGTAAAAAATATTAATGAGTGTGCAAGATGGGGGGCTACCCCCGATCATCCCGATGATCTTTTGTTAGATTCCCCAGATCAGCAAGACATGAATATGCAAGTCACGGATTCAGGTATATCTAATTCTCACGAAAATCAAAATGTAAGTAAACCAAATTTAATTACCGAGCAGTCTAATACTTTGAAAGACGGAAATTCACCTCAATCTCAACCCGAAAGGCAGAAACAGGTTTTTAATTATGGCCCAAACGATCAGGGCCCTTTCCATATTTATGTGGAAAAGAAACAATAAATTTTTCAAGTAGTCTAAATCCTTTAAAGGTCGGGGATATAATTTTAACAAATTTTCCTGAATTGGACAATAATATTTTAAGTATCGATGCAATAGGTCGCAATAGAATTCGAATTAAAATGAAGGATTCAAAAAACGCTAATTACCTTATCAGTAACAAAAACGCTAAAGTATTTATTGATAATAATTTAGATATTTATGTTCCCAAATTTATTGTTGTCAAACAAGGCGTAATACGAGATATTTCGACGGAATTTTCTGAAGATTACCTTAAAAATAAAATTAAATCTTACGAACCCCATTTACCGTTCGAAGTTTTAAATGTTAAAAGAATTAATCGTAAGAATACAACAGGGGAATCGCCAGAATTTGTCCCAACAAAATCATGCATTGTTAGTTTTAAATCACAAACATTACCTAAATATGTTGTTATTAATAAAGTCATAAAAGAGGTAGAGTTATACAAACAAAAAGTTCTACTTTGTTTTAATTGTTTGCGTTACGGGCATCTAGGAAATCAATGTAGATCTCGACCCAGATGCTATAAATGTAACAAAGATCACAACTCGAAAGAGTGTACGGAAGTAGAAAAAACAAAAAAATGTTTTAGTTGCATGGGAGAGCATTTTACTATTGATTTGAAAGATTGTCCGGAATATCACCGACAAAAATTAATCAAAGAAACTATGTCATCAGCCAATGTAAATTATCATGATGCTGACAAATTAATTCCCAGAAACTCTTACGCTTCTATTACTGCCAATCGTTCAACTACTACTAAAAATAACCCAAACGAAAGCATTGCCTTTCAAAAGATTTCCATTCCACAACCAACCCGTATGGAGCTTCGAACCTCATGTTCGACTCAACCTCCTCCAAACTTCAATTTCTTCGGAGAGTCATCTTCACACTATTCACAAACTGACAATAGAGTCTTTAACAAAAAATCAATAGTTGAGTTTCATAAGCCAGTTAAAAGGCTGAGGCCAAATAGTCCAGACCCAATAGAAATAACACATCGAGACATCATTTCTCAACCTAGGACTATAGGTCCAAATTATAGTATTCTAACCAACCCTAGTTATGTTAAAAATGTAGACAGTTCAGATTTTTCAACTCATAATTCAGGGTTAACTTCAGAGAATCTTAAAATAATTTCAGAATTAGTGGCAAACATTATCTCTACAATTAAGAGAATATAATAATTTTAATATTACCAAAACGGAACTAGAGTGTATAATTAGTAAACAATTAAATATAGATCTATCAGAAAATATATCAAATTCGCAGATTTAACACAAAAAATAAATTTCATTCAATGGAACTGCCGATCAGCAGTTTCAAATAAAGAAAACTTGGAATTCCTTCTTCATGAGAATGATGCAGCTCTTGCGATGTTATCTGAAACTTGGTTCAAAGAGGGAAAGTATTATAATTTTAAAAATTACAATATTAGTCGTAAAGACCGTCCAGACGGTTATGGAGGGGTGGCCATATTAATTAAAGCAAGCATTTACTAAAAAGAAATAATAATAAATACTAAAGTAATTTTTTCTCATAAATGTATTGCTATTAATCTATTACCTAATAAAAAAACCATTTATATAGTTTCGTTATATATTGAACCAAGAAAGAAAATAACACTGCAAGAGTGGAATGAATTTTTTGCTAATGTACCAAAACCTTTTCTAATAGCAGGTGATTTTAATGCATATCATGTTTCTTGGGGTTGCGATTTTAGTGACACATATGGGAATATTTTATCTGATGCAATAAACCATTGTAATCTTATTCTTCTAAACAGCGGATATCCAACATTAGTTCCCTTAAGTAGTAAAAGCGCAATTGACTTAACTCTGTGCTCTCAAGATATTGTACAATTTTTCACATGGACAACTATAGAGGACCCACATGGATCAAATCACCTACCCATATTGATAACACTCAATGTTAAAGATGATCATGACTTAGCTGAACCATCGAAGCACAGTATATGGCAGTTAAAAAATGCAAATTGGAATCTGTATGTAACTAATCTTGAACACAGAGATATAACTCAAAATTACGATGAACTCATTTATATGATTAATGAAGCTGCAGAAATTGCCATCCCAAGAAAATTTTCAGGTCGGACTAAGCACCGCAATCACTGTCCGAAGCCTTGGTGGAATGAAACATGTAAAAATGCTGCTCATCAAAGAAAATTAGCTTTTGCCAAGTATAAGAGAACTCCAAATAGAGAAAATTTAATTGAATACAAAAAAATGGATGCTTGCGCTAAACGCACATTCAAATTAACAAAAAGGCAAAAATGGGTTGAATACTGTACAAGCTTAAACAGCCATACCCCAATTTCACAAATTTGGAAAAAGGTAAACAATTATAAAAATCGAAAAGTCCAAAACAGATTACCAATAGACTCAAATTCAAACTGGATAGAAGAATTTCATATTAAAATTTCACCGCCATGAGTACCAACCAACCGGGATGAATGTGATCTCCAAATTTCTTCAGTACCAAGGAATACGACCTATCTTAGCGAAAGATTTTTGATGTAGGAACTGGAACGATCTATCAAACATACCAACAACAGCTCCTCTGGTATCGATAATATTTCATATTCCATGCTTTATAACTTACCAATAAATCAGAAAAAATCTCTCTTAAGTATATTCAATGCAATATGGACAGAACAAACATCGATCCCTGAAAGTTGGAAGGAGTATATTATCATCCCCATAAAAAAACACGACAAACCGGATTGCATTCCAACCTCTTATAGGTCCATATCATTAGCTTCATGTGTGTTGAAAACCTTCAAGAGACTTATCAAAATTCGTCTTGAGCAATGGCTAGAGAAAGAACATATTCTACCTGATATAGAATATGGCTTCAGAAAATCTAGGTCAACATTGGAAGCATTAACAGTAATTGTAACAGATATTCTAGATGGATTTACTAGTAACCTCATGACTATGGCAGGTTTCAACGATATTACAGGTGCATTTGATAACGTTAACCTAGATGTTTTAACCAATAAATTGATTTCGATTGGATTTAATACGCAATTAGCGAACTTTATAACTTCGCTGTACACAAACAGGAAAATACATATAAAAATAAATCAAGTAACCACTAGACCTAGAACTACGAACCTAGGACTCCCCCAAGGCAGTATTTTAAGTCCAGTTTTGTTTTTATTATACACAATGGATGTCAGTGTTAAACTTCATAACATAAGAACAATACAATTTGTAGATGATATTGTTTTTTATTGTACAAGAAAAAACTTTGAAACTTGTGAATATGAATTAAATAAAACTTATGACATCTTCAACGAGTGGCTGAATGAAAATTATTTTACACTTTCTGAACACAAAACAGAGGTGTGTCTATTTAGCCGAAGACGAAACATTGA